CACTCGGAAAGTACGGCCCTTCGAACACTCGCGAGGGAAATCACTGCCTCTGAAACGTCCCTGAAGCCCGGTCCCAGACGCTCCTACAGCACGGACCCGAACCATCCCTCTGAGGCGTCAAGAAGCCAGTAGAGGGGGTTCTTGGGAGCTTCTTGTGGCCTTTGGTAGACGTGTGCCGCGGTAGACAGCATCTGGTATGCATTGTGGCGCATGTATACATATATATATACGTATATATATATATCATATTTTGTATGCTCTTATTAACATCGCGCAGACAGTCATGGAGGCCCCACAGTCGACGCCAAACGTGTCAACCCGACACGCCAACAGCGCAACGAAACCGTTTAGCGGGACTTGCTTGCTGGGGGCCCCTTGGATACATATATTCTCATGCGCACCTCTCCGAGGGAGTAGAGCGCAGAGGCGATTGATGCGTACGCCCGTTCGCGATTTTTCTGGCCGTTTCGCTGGGGACATCCTCTAAATTTTGAAAATCGGCGGCACCCCTCACACAGATCGTAACGCCAGGGTCCAAAAACACATAGGAATTTCAACATTCCAGCATATAATCTTCAAAAACACATTGTGCTTTCAATAATTTTAACACCGATTCTCAGAGAATAGCGGTTTCGCTTGAGACATCCCCCACGATCGAGCCCCGACGTACCCTCTGGCACCCCAGACCCCGCCTCCAATGATTTTGATCCCGATCCTCAGAGAATTGCGGTTTCGCTTGAGACATCCTCCCAATATCGAGCCCCGACGTACCCTCTGGCACCCGAGACCCCGCCTCGGAGCCTCCTGGGGGCGTCCTGGGAGCCTCCTTGAACCTCCTGAAGCTTCCTGGGGCCTCCTGCCGCCTCCTGGAGTCTCTTGGGGCCTCCTGGAGCCCCTTGTGGCCCTGCACTTGCGGCTACATGGCATTTTTTCCAAACGCAACGCACTGTCGCTTGTATATAGACATCGGTCACACTCTGCGCTGCGACTTATTCTCAGCCCTTGCCCGATCCATTGCGATTGACATATCGCCATGAAATCTGTTTCTGCAAATGTTTTTATAAGCGCTCATGATGTCCTTTCCCTTGCCCACCAATGGCTCCGCATGTCGACTGTCCTTAAGCTCCTGTAAGAGACCAGTATGTTCGTACGCCTGCATGAGGCACCCAAGGTACACAAGTTTGATCTTCAACACACGACCTGTGCGCACTTGAAATGGGTTCGCTCCGATTTGGCGCACGATGTCGACCCAATCACTCAAAGGCACGTTGATGTTTGTCTCGGTGTTCGGGCCGAACATTCTCCACGATGATGATGCGACATGCTGTATCCTCGGGCACGCGAACAACACGTGCTGCGGGCATCCGATACAATTCCACGGGTTGCCACAATACCTGCAGATAAGATCTTCTCTTCCTTCTTCTTGTCGAGGCGCCTCTGACATGAGTTTCGAATACACCAGCTCCAAAAGATTGGGCCACGTTTCGTCGAACCAATGAAGAATATAGCCACATGAAGCATCGACGGCGAGATTGCGAAACAACGCGTGCCTTTCTGGGCTAGCATTGGCAAGATACGATTTGCCTTGGTGGTACTCGTATATCTGCGTGGCCATCCACTTGGAACGTTCCTGGACATCTTGGGTTTCATCATTGTACCAATCAGCATACTGTTCAACGTCTTTCCACAACCATGAAGTGCTCTCCTTATTGATGTCACCCAGGAGTAGGTTACTCGGCTTTGGCATTGCTGAGAAATGATAGCACGATATCGTTTCGGGCCGATTGGCAAGACTGAGCCAACGACCTTCATCATTGTCGTGCACGCCGGTCAGCGACATTTGGTGCACTTGATAATTCATCGAAACGTCAAGTGGTGCGATTTCCTGGTCTAGCCCAAAATACTGCGAGATAAAATCTTGCTCGCCTCCAGTGTTGTCAGGGGGAATGTATTTCCCAAGTGCCATTAACATAGAATCTGCTTCTGCTTGGTCAGGTCGGAAAACCACGACACCTCCGTTGATTCCTCCACCATGCAAACCACGGTCCTTGTTGTCCTTTGTCTTGATGCTCGCTGCTGGCCTAGGGTTGTCCAGCCGAAAATCCCCTCTGCCTCGGAAAGCGCCCGCAATCTTGCAGTGCGTCAGCTTGAAGAACGCGCTGTCAAGCGAGTGCTTGATGTACAAATCGGTGTCCAGCATGATCGCCACCTCCGCCTCGTCTGCTAGCCACGACCATGCCTGTAGTTTGGAGTACACGTTGGACAACCGTTTCGATGCGCCCGTTCTTCTCATCGAGCTCAAATCCAAATGGGCGAACTCCCTGATCTCCCAGGCAATGCTGAGTAGGAGCTGCATCTGAAGAGGAACATCATTTACAAAGCATATCCTTTTCCTGGTGCTGGTTCGTTTCAGCGCCATGCCCACAACCAGAGCTTCCAATATGTGAACTAAGTTTTTGCCCCATATTACAGTAACATAGGCCGCAGACCCAAAATGGCT